ACTCAATTTTTACCAAATTGTATTCAAATGGAACATTGTTAACCTTGGTTTGCTAAGCCTCATGTTTTGATGTTAACAAACAATATAAGAGCTTGACGTTTGTTTAAGTGTTTCAGGTACAACAAGAATCCATTAAGATTCGGTTCTCAAGAATGAAGTCGAAACACTAAACTAGCGTAGAATTTAGGTAGAAACCGATGTAAGGATATGATTTTATATACCTATATTCACAAGCTCAAAAACACTCACAAAATATGTTTAAAACCCTTTTATAATCATTTTCAAACATTCAAAAGGTTTTAAACAAAATTGGAAATGATTTGGACAAAAATGAAAAAATTGTCAAAATGGTCATAAGGTACCTAGGTACCGTGAGGGGTACCGTGAGTTAATCTGATACGGGACCCCCCTACCGTAAGGACGGGACCCCCTACCGTATGGACGGGACCCCTCTACCGTGTATAGGTACCGTGTATAGGTACCGCCAGAGAGTTTTGGCCTGAGAAGGTACCTAGCTACCGTACGGGACCTAGCTACCGTAACAGGGTACCGTAACCGTTGGAACACTATTTCTGATTGCTGATTTTTGAATTAATTCAACTCTAATCACCTCCTAACGGCTAATTAACATCTTCCACTATAAATATAGGCCTAATACTTCATATTTCAACAAGAAACAAAGCTCTAAACATCCTCTCTTTTTATTCTAAGTGTGTTCATCCTTTTATTAATTATTTTCTATATTTTGGCTATTTTAAGAGCCTTAAATTCCTGATTTTTATACACACACTTTGAGCTTGTGTTTCTGGTTATATACTCTCATATTCATAAGTTTATATTGTATTTTTGAGAGAGTATAATTTCCTTCTACATTGGCTAAATTTTGTTCTTCATTTTTATATTCTAGCCGTTGTGTAGAATCCTCTTTTGTGTTCTTCAAACACACCTTCTTACGGTCGAGAATAGCCGTTAAATTCTCACGTTGTAACGGTCAGGGATAGCCGTATAAATCCTTGGGTAAAGGTTCAAGGATAGCCTTTGAAATCCTTGGGGGAACGGTAGAAGATAGCCGTTAAATCTTCATTGTAAACGGTTCGAGATAGCCGTTGTGAAATCTCGGAGTGAATCCTATTGGCAAGGGTTGTTTGCCAAAACTAGTGCGGTGCTTTGACGGAGTTCAAGAGACCGGGACTTAGTGGATTCGGAAATCCTTGAGGAGGAGCCTCGAGGTACTGGAGTAGGGGTTTTCCGAACCAGTATAAATTCGGTGTGCATTTTATTTACTCTTTTATTTTTGCGTTTTATATATTGCTTCCGCATTTGCCAACACCGTTTTTATTAAACTCCAAAAAGTTTTCAAACGCCTTATTCACCCCCCCTCTAAGGCGTGGGCACAACGATTAAACCGACTAACAAACATAACACTATTTAAATTTATCTTTTCATTTATAAACATAAGTATATTAGTAGATGTGAGAAAAATTTGATATTTCAAAACTAAATTTTAGAATCAATTTAATTATATTAAATTTATATCATAATTAAATATATATGTCTTCATAATTTGTAGTCCAAATTTGTAAAATATGACTAAAAAATCAAAAAGGGCAGATTATTTAGGGTAGAGATAATATAATTAGAAAAAAATATAAAACATTATGAGGTATTGAATTGATGATAGATTGATAAATGTGATAAAACATAAAAAGAAACATGGATTGTTAAATTTTAATTAGAAAATAATATATATCCAAAATATATTTGATCCGAAACCGAAATATATCCGAACTGATTTAGACCCAAAACCGAAATATATCCGACTCAAATTGTATCCAAACCGAAATCTATCCGAACCGATTTATAACCGAACCGAACCGAAAAATGTATAGAATCGAATCAAATCCAAACCGAAATTTAACCGATCCGATCCAAACCGAACCGATTATAACATATAACCGAAAGATATCCGAACCGAAAAAATTCAACCCGAAACCGATCCGGTTAATCCGATTGCCACCTCTAGAATTAAGTTACTTATGTAATACTAATTCATTATTCGGTAAAAACTGAATTACCGACTGTATTTTCTAAAATCTAAGGGTCCGTTTGGTACACGGAATTGATGGAATTAGAATTGAATTGAAATTAAAATTTCATGGGATTCAATTCCATAGAATTGAATTCACCAATTCCAATTCATTTTTTGCACTACCAATTCCAAATCCACATAATTTTTGTGCTACCAAACACGAGAATTAGAATTGAAGTCCTCAATTCCAATTCCATAGTTTGAATTCCGTGTACCAAACGGGGCCTAACTGAAAATCAAAGTTTTAAAAATGAAAAACCAAATACTGGAACAACCTTTCTGTTTCTGTTTTGGTACGTATCAAATTTTCCGTTTGGCTTTGGTTCAGTCCGGATATTGTGCACACACCCAGGGTGCAAGCAGATGGATAGAATTTGGTAGGTGGAAGGCGCACAACAAGCGGCTCAACGACTCTTCTTCGAACTTCATGGCGCATCCATTACTCTGTTTTAAGGCGGCGGCGGCTCTCGCACCCTCCTTCCCGCCGTCTCTTCGCCGTAAACGCGCCCTTCTGTCCAGTCGTTGCTTCCCTCCCTTCAGTCGTGTCAGTAGAACACCCTCAGCAACCCCAGATCACCACGAGCTTGCGCTTGGTTTTTCCAAAACAACAAATCCAAGTAATAATTTCTCAAGTTGCATTGCCAAACGTTCGATCATGTAATTTCTTGGACACTTATTAGTTTCTCTAGACTGGTACGGAGCATTACTTAGATATGGAGTAATATTTGTTGATTTACATTGGTTATTAGAGTATGAAACTTCATGGCCTTCAAAAGCTTGAGTTTTTAGTTTGATATATAGAGTTTGATGATCTACAGTTGTTCAAATCTCACCGTCGCCAAAATTTAAAAAACTAACTGTGTTAAAAACAAATCTAAAACATCTAATCTTCTGGTTTAGTTAGTTCCTTATGTTGGGAAAGCAAGAACACAAATGATTGTGTAGTGCCCAAGATCAACACCTTTCCCTCTTGAATGAATCTGTGAGGAGCAACAAACAAACACACCAAAGAACACCAAGCAACAAGATAATCCAAGAACGAAAAATAAAGTGATATGAGGCACGAGATTTTAACGTGGAAAACCCTTTCAATGTGAAAGAGTAAAAAACCACGAGACCCTTCGGTCCAACCAACTCTACTACCACCAAATTGAGAGTACAAATGCACAATATAACAGCACCACAATGATATCTAGCCCTTAACAACACTACGAAGGCACTAGAATCAAAATAGAGGAACAAAAGTGCAAGAAATCACCAAAAAACAGCAGCTGGTGCGAAGCTCATAACTTGAGATTGAACCGTTGAAATTCGATCTCCACCGTTCAGATTGAAGCTCCACGAGTCCTTAGACTCCTCCTAAAATTTCAGCTCGATCGGACAAGATTTGGACCTCCAATCGACCAAAAAACCAGACCTGCGTTTTGAAGAAAAAGGCAGCGAATTCCTCTCCTCTTACGGCTGTGTTTCTCCTTTCTTTTGTGCGTGAATTGTGTATCCAACCAGCTGTACCTCTCAACAATTTAGACCCTTAATTGGCCATCAAAAGTGGATTAAAATTGGGCTTGAGTATTACACTCCAAATGGGCTTTTAAAACACATAGTTGGGAGCCCAAACCCAACAAATCTCCCCCCTCCCGAGTATGTGGAGGTGGTTGCCAAACCGGCAATCAAACAACAAGTTTCAAACTTCCCCTTTGGCAAAGCCTTAGTCATCATATCAGAACCATTATCATCTGTGTGAATCTTTTCAAACTCCAATAACTTGAGATCAAGCACATCTCGAATCCAATGATAACGTACATCAATATGTTTAGATTTGCCATGGAAAGTAGGATTTTTGCTAAGATGTATAGCACTCTGACTGTCACAATATAAGACATACCTCTTCTGAATAA